TAAATTTAACAATTTTTATGCATTGAGAATGTAACTTTTCATTCCAAGGCGGCCGCTTTTCGAATAATGCATTTTTCATCAAAGAAAAAAACAACGTTGCAGCAAGGCATGAGTGCACTGAATAAAGCGAAGGAATGTTATAGACATCCAATATTTTTTGCAGGATTTTTTGGCGAACAAGACTCATTTCCTTCTCTACTTTTCTTACATATAGAAGAATTTAGAAGTAAAGGAAAATTTTATTAAATTACTAATGCGTTCCTATAAGTCTCTAAGTGCATAAGCTTTCCACCCCTAAGGATGGGCGTAAAGTATTTACCTCATTTATCTTTGTATGCTACAGCAATTGAGAGAATAATTGTTGTGTTGGGAACCATTTCTTTAAATTTCTATACTAAATGTCATGTGGTGTGGAAAGGGATACGGTTTCTGGCTTTTCTAAAGAAGTTCGTTAAAGAGAGAAAACGATGTGTTTGTTTTCGGATTATACATTTTTCCCTGAAGAATTTACGAGTATAGGTCAATACAGCAGAGCCTTCGCTCTTTGTGCGAGAAAAAAAAAATTCTGTGTGAAAGGGGATTTTTGTAATCAAGAAAGACAGCTTTATACTCAACCACGGCATTTCTAAACATGGATAGTACGTGCCATTTGAAGTCTTAAATATTTAACCAGTTGTAGCTTAAAACCGTTGCCGAGCAAATCATAACAAAGTCTTTTGAAGTGAAATATTTAGTACAAAAGATAAATAATCAATTGCGTTAGTGATCCAAACCCAAAAAAGGGATCGAAAAATTTAAAAAATCCATATAGCCAAACACTTTCTCTTAACTGATAGAGGTATCTTGCATCATTTGCAAATAGTACATAACAGTTGTCATCCTTAGTATGCTTCTGATTTAAATAATATACCCATAATAAAAAAAACTTTTTAAGCGAACGAAAAACATTGGAGAAACAAATATATGAAAAGTAGTACAGCACAAATTTAACAGTTTTTATAAGTGAAATACCTTACAAAAAAAAATAACAAAAATTTAATTCGCTAATAGTTTCAAACGAAAAAAAGCTTTATCAACCTAGTATTCACTCCAAGATACCTTCTGTTTGAATTGAGCAACGAATCCAAAATCAAAGACCTATGAAAAACTGTGTCATTTAGTTTTCGGAGTAAGTTTGGATGTCTTGATGTTCAGTAATCAGAATCTATTGCGAGTAACTTGAATTTCCATTAGTATTTTTCGGGAAGTACAAAAAACTATTGCCGGAATTGG